TACTCTGCTACCTGCTTGCGCTTGGTTGGGGGTGTCTGCGCTGAGAAGCTGTTCCTCGACATGTGGAAGAAGAGGCAGAGGCTGGGGTGAAAAGGTAGGTAATGAACGAACGAACGCAGTTGGCGGAGGACTTGAGAGGGCGCCACACCACGACGCATCTTGCCTGCGGTTCAACCCGTAGTGTAGATAGCCCGTGCACAACGGGTCCATCGACGCCTCAAATAGTGGAGCAGCTGACTGACAGTATGTCAATTGTCGGAACTGAGAAGAAACCCCGCCCCTCGCCCGGGAAATTCGGAAGAGAAGCGTTCCGAAGAGAAAGAGTGGAATGAAACATAAGGCGCCCACAGACCCAGGACAGACGGTGCTGGGCCATGCGAGAGGGGAGAGACAGCTTGATGATGGTGTAAAACGTGATGATATTGTGTGGATGGGTGAGAGCAGAGAGCAGCAGCAGATGAAAGGTACGGGCATTCCCGATTTAACCCGTCCGTGCAGAACGAGACTGACAGGTAATTCAAAGTAAGTAGTCAAGTTCCGGAACTGAAAAGCAACGGAAAGGAAAGTTGCATGTTGTGGATGTTGAACGATGTACAGCAGTGGAGAGCAACGGGCAAAAGCAGACTGGATGTGTGAAGAATGGATGTGTGTGTGACAACCGAGAGAGGAAGATGAAGGTCCCGTGTGAGAGGCGTGCGAAAGGAAGGGTGGAAACGTGACAGAGATTAAAAAAACGGGAAAATGCGGCAAATCGGGAAAACGGGAAAGCGGGAAAATGAAGGTTGGAGAAATGCAGGCCTGTGAGCGCTCTAGAGAGCCCAAATGCAGCCACGTGAGAGCCCGACAGAATTTTTGCTGCCATTTCGAGTGGATCTTTAAGTGAAAAAAGTTTTATGACGTGTGGATTTTGGTCTACGGTACAGCAGTGGTCACATGTTAACAGGTCTACGGAGTATGGATGCATTTAAATTCGTGTATGACGCGTGGATTTTGGTCTACGGTACTGTAGTCACATGTTAACAGGTCTACGGAGTATGGATACATTTGAATTCGTGCATGACTTGTGGATTTTGGTCTACGGTACTGCTGTAGTCACATGTTTTAACGGGTCTACGGAGTATGGATACATTTAATGGCAAGTCTACATACAAAGACTTGACCTCCTCCGCCGTTCCACATCATCATCCCCGTCTCATTTTTTGCGCGGTCTCTTCCACGCTGCTGGTTGTTGATTCCCGCCTGGGGAGGAACAGTTTTTTTCTGTGGTCGGTTCTCCCAAAAGCAGTGAAAACGGTTGCAACGTGCTTTTTTCTGTGTTCTCCTCCGTGTATCCCTGCCGATATGGCGCCGGAGGAGTGGGTGCTCCATCTATCATACCAGGCCGTCTGCTTGGTTATGCCCCTTGACCTCTCCGCGCCTTTCGTTTCCAGTATTACCTTCACGCGTGCGTTTGAGTTATTCGTTTTGGTGGTACATGGATGCGTGCCATACGGGGGGAAGGAAGGGTGTCGCCGCTCGCGCGCGCGTAGCGCCGCATTGCGAGCATCTGGCTAGGCCTTGCTTGTGTTCGGGGGGTGTTGGGGGCGTGGAGACTAGTCCCGTCCCCTGGCCGGTAGCTCGCGCTCTTGGGAGGAGTTAAAGCAAACAGATCAATTGGAGAGAACATGATTTCCTCCGTGAGACACGATTCACCCTCTGTACCAGTACATTCCGTGTGAGGGCGCCTTGAACCTTGATACGGGACAATCAATGATGTAGGATACTTTTTGACCAGCATATATAGAAGGAGTTTTTTTTTTTTTCATGTTTTTCTTTTTCGTTGTCATTGTTTTCTCGCTCGTTTTCGTTTTTTTTTTCGTGTTTGCAGGAACGGGGCACGTTTTCATCGTGACAGAGCTGGCGTGCGGGGGCGACCTTCTGGCGCTGCTTTTGTCAGAAAGACAGGTGCTGAGGGAGGACACGGCGTGGAGGGGGGTAGAGGGGAGAGAGGATAAGGGGAGGGGGATCACCAGCAATATGTTGTGCAGAGCGGGGGCACAGAGCGTGCTCACTTGATGTCTATATTTCTTGTGATTTTGGCTGTTTGACCGCTTGTCCCGAACCGAAGAGCTGATGCTTAGTCCCTACTCCAACCTTGCCGACACCAGCTATGCTGAGCTAGGGAACCTGCCGTAACTCTCGAGAGTAGGCGAGTTGAACCGAGCTCAGCGTTTCTCCTGAGCCACCCGATCACAGCGGGTGCGGCTGTCAGTTGATTGTCCACGCTCTCCCTCGAAACGGAGAGTACCCGAAACGGAATATCCGCATGCATTTCGTGCACGTCTTTTAGTGCGATTGCTGCTGTACACACAACAAATGAAAACCGCCGTATTTTTTTGCGGCGGACTGAAGGTATAGCGGTAGACAACGTACAATCACGAAGAGGGCAACAGCCCACTCGGCAACTCTCCTGCCGCGACAGACCGATGAGATAACAGAACATGACCTATCCAACGCGTGCGCATGTCAACGCGCTCAAATCTTTCCTTTTTTTCCCGCTTTTTTTTCCCAGGTCGGCTGGAAGCTCCGCGTGTCTATTCTCATGGACGCGGCCCGTGCCCTGGACTTCCTGCACCGGAAAAGCCTCATCCACCGCGACATCAAGAGCCCCAACATACTGCTGGACTCGCGGCACCGGTGCAAGCTAGCCGACTTCGGGATGGCGAGGCAGCTGGGGGCCAACATGACGGTGGTAGGGACAGGTAAGAGAGACACACACACATAGGGAGAGGGGGGGCGCGGGGCAAGGACGCGTGTGAACCGGAAGATGCAAGGAGTGTCGGCCAGCATGCCGACGGTGGGTAGAGAACGGGCAAGAGGTCAGCGTGTAGTTGCGTTTGCCTGGATGGGAGGTGAAATTAATGGCTGTTGTTGTCGCTGCTTTCACTTACCGACACGCATGACACCTGTACACTCTTTTATGTATTTCTAGTGTTTCTCATGTATTTGACGTTTCGTCCCCTGCCGCCGCCGCCGCCGCCGCCGCCGCCGCTCGTGCGCAGACGCCTACATGGCACCGGAGCTGATGTTCGACAATCCGTACGGGACCTCTGCGGACATGTTTAGCTTCGGCATCGTCTTGTGGGAAACTATCTACCGGCAGAAGGTGTGGAGGCCCCGTGTGTGCTCAGGGGGGAAGGGGGGGAGGGAGGGGGTACAGAGCGCGCGGGGGCAGGAGACTGCTCACGGGAATGCTGTGGATGGGGCCACGTGTTCGTTGGCTTCGAAAGCTCGTGTGTGTCTTGGTTTGTGTCCGATATGTATCTTTGCTGGGGGACGAATTCTTCAGTTTGTGTTTCTGTCGTAATCTCGAGAGAGAGCTTTGCAGCCGTCACCGCAATAAACGACGTATCCGTTTTTCTTGTTCCTCCTCGATGTCGTGTCTTTCGCTGTACTACTGTACTGTTACTGTACTGAAAGCTTTTCTTCTCGACCCATCAGATGGTTTTCCGTAGACGAGAGACAGAGACAGACAGCCAGACAGAGAGAGAGAGAGAGAGAGAGAGAGAGAGAGAGAGAAAGAGAGAAAGAGAGACAGCCCTGTTGACTCTCCTCAATCAACTGTTGTCGTCTTTTCCCTCTCTGCCATCTCTAAGGGAGCAATAGCTTTTCTTTCCGCCACGGATGTGCTCTCTTTGTTTTTACTGAATTCGAACGCCCCCTCTCCCTCCCTCCCTTTATCTCCCCTCCCTTCCGCTTGTTTTTTTGTTTTGTTTCTCGAACATGGAATGGGGATTCTCTTTCTTTTTTTTTTCAGGCCGGGACGGACGACTTCATCGAGAGGCGCATGTCGGACCAATTTGAGGTGGACGTACAGGCTCTGCAGGAAGACGCACCCCCGGACACCAGCGCCTCCCTCGTAGCCCTCGCGGCCCAGCTTGTGGAGGTAAGACTGCCTACACCCGAAGGCAAGCACCACAGCAGCGGCGGTGTAGTAGCGTCTGCTCGGTGGTTGCGGTCCGTGGCGCATGTGTGTACATGAACCCTTAGCCGGGGGTCTGTCCCTTGCTTTTGTAGCTGTCGTGGCTCGGTCTCTTGGTACGTAGCTAGCTAGCTCTTCACGCCCCAACGACCTAACCTAACGGCGCAACCGATTTGAATTTGGGATGCATGACCATTTTACTCTGCGACCACGAGGATCTAGAGCTTGCTGTGGCAGGTCCTTTTTCACCCACCCCCCTCTCCCACACGAGGTTTATGCAACCCCCTTGAGTAAATCCCCCCACCTACTTCTGTACGCATGCGCTGTTGTGGTAGCAGTGTGCTACGCTCCTCCCCCCCCCCAGAGGAACGTGGTGAAGGGGGGGGGGGGGGGGGGAGCATGTGTGCCTTTATTTTTGATGTTGAGTGTGCGGCGGCTGTGTTTTTTTTTTGTTTCTTTGTGTTTTTTTTTTTTTTCGTCGTCAGAACGAGCCGGAACAGCGACCGACTGCGGAGGACACTCTGCTGTGGCTGGAGGACCTGACGGACTCTCTGCCGGAGGATGAGGAGGACCCGTGGTCGCCGATAGACTACGAGAGCCTCTTCCCCCTCGAGATGGGCGAACGTGAGGGGATGGAGGGACTAATAGGAATCAGTCTAGATTCTTGCCTACCTTTGAGGGATGGGAGGGAGACATTGAATAGTCAGT